GTAATAAGGATGAAGTCACCCAGGTTCTTTCTGGGCACCTGGTTCATCAGATTTTAGTGGACGCTTACTGAATGTCTTTTGGCTTTTGAAACCAAGCAATTGCGTCTGTGTTGGAGCCTTGCGTTCACAGGTTTCGTATGGCTGCAAGAGAGATACCGTTCTGCATCAGATTTTGTAAAACTCCCTGTTTAGCTCTGTGTCTTGATGAATGATTAAAAAACTCTTCTATTTTGCCAAATAATTTGCTATAAAGAAAGATTTGTCCAACAAGTTATGCAATTACCATTATTAATCAGCTTGCATCTTTACAAGATCAAGGGAATCTTGTTTTACACTGGAATTTTTAGTTGATGGGCTAGATTCATGCAGTTTCTTTCCCTCCTCTTTAGAGAGGGATGGAGGGGAGTTAATTCCGCCAATGCTTCAAGAGACCAAATATCCCCTGTTTATTAATTAATAATATCCATCTGGATTATGTCAAATGATTCCCTCTGCATTTCCATGGATTTTTATCCAAAGAAAAAGCATTCTGAGCCCTGTTGTATCAATTTTGAAATCTTTGGAAGCCCGGCTGTTCTTTCCTTGTTTCTAGCACCTACTAGTTACAGGACATCAGGAATGCAAGCGGAGGACGGATGATAGGAGGAGGCTGTGTTTGTGAAATCTTCTTTTGATGTGTGGGAACAACCAAAATAAGGTTCTTGAAAGCAACTACAAGCCAAAAAAAGTCCTCTGACACTGAACATCTCAAGAAGATGAAAACCTTCCTCCCATTTCCATTGTCCCTGGCCTGAGCTTTTGATCTGACGCAAGAAATGTGGTATGTGTCTGAAGTTTAGAAAGTTTATGCTGGCAAATAGAAAAGGGGGAGGTGGGTTGAGTAAGCTGGGACTGAGCTTCAGGCACATAACACTAATGTCCCCGCTGAGGGCCCTACACATGAGCAGGCCCCACAGTGAATAGCCAGGCTTTGAGGCACAGAGGAAGACCAAGCGCCAAATCCTATACAGAGGTGAGCCTGGTGGCTCTGCAGGACTCAAAAGACCCAGGGGTGAGTTTTGCTGGCAATAACCTCTGGTGCTGGCCTGCAAGCTCCTTGGCCAGTGCAGTGCATCATCCCTCCTGCGTTCCCTTCGCGTTCACACGCCGTCTCCTACGTCGGGCCTGTCTCCTGCTGCGGTGTTGGCAGGAGACGCGACCCCATTTCAGTTCTTTCCAGCTTTCTGACCCAGTTCAGCTGCGTCTGAGAGGTGGGGTCTGGAAACCAGAGACAAGCCCTCATGCCGGCGGGACCTCTGTTGCCAGAAGCTCCAGTTCAGCGTGTCCATTTAGGCTCAGATTTGACTTTCTGCTCCCATGCATGCAAAAAGACAAAAGCCCAAGTGTTTTGCAGAGTTGAGGCCATCCTTCACCTTGTGCAACGCAGCGCAAACTGGGGAGGAAAGGCCTTCGTGTCTTCTGCAGGGATCTGCCCTCCTGGCAACACAGGCAGCAACCACAGCTGCTCTTCAGCTGGTTCTCTGTGCCTGCTCTGGTTGGTTGGGTAACTAACATTACCCATGACATCAAGACATATTTCATTTATATGGCGGCATTAGGATGTTTTCTGCCTCCGTTCTTCATGGAGGCATAACTTTAGCGTTGGAAGTGGTAATAGCGACAGAGGTGGGCACTTCTTGCAATGAGGATTTCCAATCAAAACCACACGTTCTTCTTCATTTGGTGTTATCCCTCTCTCTATCTCGACCTTATTGACTAGAAAATACCAAGACTTTAATACTGAGACTTTAATACATTGCACATTTTGCTAATTTGCTTTCTGGCTGTGAGCCTCTGTGGTATCATTTTCCAGCAGTTTACTCAGAGGGCTAGAAACTTTCTTTTTTTGTTTAATGAAAGTGGGAATTCTCCTCGAGTCCCTTGACTACGGCAATGGCAGCCTTAAGAAAAACAGAACGTGACAGAAAATAGATGAATGGCTCCAGTGCTATTGCAATAATGCGTAAGGACCCCGTTTGTGCTGTGCTAGCTCATGAGAGGACATTCCTTGTTGAAAAAACTGTGTATAGTTTGAGCTTTTGAATGTGACTAAATCCCTCGTGCGTTTCCTTCTTTAGTTTGGCTCTGTGGATCTCCTCTCTTCTTTCTACTTTATTTCTTTTGGGCACTTCTTCAGTCCTAATCATAAAAACTAGAATTTCTCAGCAATTTCAAGGCTGGAGAATTCCTGACCTCTATCATTTTGTGCCCAGGGAAAATAAACTTGTTACTATGGTTTGAGCCTTAATGACTGCTAAGTATATATAGTCAATTTGTAAAAGAGCATACTGGATTATTCTGTGCATGCCTTTAAATCTTTTACAGCGTTTATCAGCAGAGCACTCATTTAAAACATGTTGTTTTAATGAAAAGGATACCATTGCCACTGTTTTGTGTTGATTATGTGGTAACATATTTATATTATCACCCATAAAAATGATTTGGAGCTCTTCCACTCCAGATGCAACCTTCGGCAGAGCTGTGCTAGTGCCGCTCGTGCCGCCCAGGAGGGCCCCGGACCCCTGCAGTTTGCTGGTCTCTGACCATTGCTGCTATTGATTTAATATCATCTCTTCCCACAGCACTGCTGGGCTGCGGCAGAATACTGTCCAAGACAGCCCTTGTCGGTCCCTTCCTCACAGCAGGAGAATCCTAACGCTGCCCTGGCTGTAGCCCCTCTAATTTGCCACCTCCAGGATTAGTTTTGCCTCTGTTGCTGAGTACGCTTTAGCAACATCCAGGTGTTTTGCTGGGGAAGTAAGAGGGTAATATAGTAGTATAAAGCGATTCAGAAAAGGTCTTCAATGCACACTTGAGTCCCGTGTCAGTGGGAATTAAGCACGATTATGGTAAGGCACGTGCTTAAGTGTTTGTTGAACTGATAGCATATTCCCTTGAAAGTCTGACAAATAAATCACTGGGCAGAAGCACAGAAATGCAAGAGACAGACTGAACTGATTCCTTCCTTGCCTGGCGTCAGAGAAGCCTGTTGAATAAAAGCATTGTGACCTGGTTCCCTTTTGCTTTCTTATTACTCAGAAAGCAAGACTGTGGATCCATGAATAAAGATCCTTGCAATAAAGGAAGAATTTTGCTTGTTTGCAACAGCTGAGGTTCAGTTCCCTTGCACTTAACCTAGCTCCCAGTTTAATTAGTTTCTGATTCACCCCTGTCAGGCCAGTGCATTCTGCAGGAAGTTCATCATTTCTGGCACTGCTGCAATACTGGCTCTCACCATGCCTTGCAATAAATAAGTGATAAACCTTGTAATAATTGCAAGTTAAAAACAAACAAGTGGAGCCAAGTCACTCTCATTTATAATTGCAGTGTGACTTCATTATGTAAAGACAACACAGCATGTAAAAGCTGAAACTTCTAGGGATTTAGTGGAAAGTTTGAGCCATATTCTCTTTTATTTCCCTTATCCCTGAATCAGTATTTGCTTAGGTGGTTTCCAAACAGGAAGAGACAGTGCTGTAATAAACCACAGTGTTGCACTCCTCAAACAAATTTCCCGTGTAGCTTTGTGCTTAGAAAGCAGACTTTGCTGGAGATGCTGGATGCTTGGATCAAAACTCTTGTTCTGGAAACCTCAGCCCTGCTCCTGCCTTATGGGCATCCTGCATCCATCCTAGGCAGGCAGCTTTGCCAGGGATCGGTCCAGCTGCCAGGTGAGCGGCAGGGTTGCTGCTGCATCCCAGGCATGGCTAATGCAGGGGCTGCCGACCCTTTGGCTGCCCCACTGGGAAAGTGGGTGTTGCCCTTGGCCTCTGTTTAGCTTCTCTCTAGCAACTGAGGTAAAATCCATTTGCAGCAGAGCACGTGGGCTTGGCACTCCAAGTCAGTGCTCCCAGTGGGTTTGTAATTGAAGGGGTAGTCAGGCTTTTTCGAAAGAAATCTGTAGACTACTTTGTTATGCCACCCTCGCTTAGTGGCTGGGAAGGCAAGGGGAATGAAGCATTTAGATTAAAATAGAAAAAAAATTATTTTTTCCTTAAAATCCTAATTTTGTGGAAACTTTAATTAAAAATGTTGATTATAAAGTGCAATGAATGTTACCCTGGACTTCACTTTAATGGAGTTTGTCAGTGGGCAGAGTCCACCTGGGTCCTCCATCCCTCTGCTTCTTGTGGGCGGTTAGGTTTTTTGCAGCCATGTTAAAGACTAACTTCCAGTTTCATACGGGCCACCAGTGGCCAGGGGAGCGCAGCTTGATGAACAGTGGTCTAAATCATACAGGGAAAATGGGGTCATTTTGCCAAGGAGCTTATCTTGTAAATGGCCCAAAGAGCTCAGGGACACATATTGGGATGTGGATTTATTTGAAGGTAGCGTGTTTACAAGGTGTAGAAACAGTTGTGAGTTTTAATAATATCCTATTACTTCTAAGTAGAGCCCTTTGAGGAAATTGCCTACCTTTTTTTATTCACTCCAAAATTAAAGCACTTCAGCTCTTTAAAAGCTCCGTGTTCTCCATCTTCTTTAATTTGGTCAGCATTTGTACTTTGACTTGCAACCAAGACTTTTCCTGAGGCACCTCAGTTTGCTACCCTGGGCATCCCACAGCCCTTCACCTTATACCAGCTTTCAGTAATTTCTGGCCTGATGACTCTGGATTTCAACATGTAACCTTGCAGTGAAAGCTCTGGTCCCTGGTTTCATGTTTCTCACCAGGGAGACAATCCCATGTGAGGCTGAGTCTCTCTGCAAGCAGTGAAGCCCTCTCCAAGGAGGGCATGTCCAGGACCCACTTGCAACTTAACACAGCAGCTTGCTACACTGATTACTGCCACTGCCCAAAAAACCAATAGAGCTTTAACACCAAAAGGCTGCGGTCTGTGATGCAGAGTTATCCACAGCTCCTGCTGGCAAGGAGAGGAGCTTCAAGACCTCTCAGGATTGAGACCACGTATGAAACCATCCCGCTGACCTTGTTTGCCTTCCCTGTGTCCCCTGTCTAGATCCTTCTGCTCGAGGCTGCGGAGCGAAGCCCGCCGTTGGAAAACAACCTGCCAATCACTGGGACAACGGCCACGTGGTACGACGATTTGCTACCAGATGCCTTTCCCCTGCTAAATCCCGGGACTGTCCTGAGGAAAACAGTGGGATCTGTTGGTAAGCATAGCCTGCTCTTCACCAAATCTCCCACTCTACATACATGATTCTTGTAGGGTATCTAAAAAGAAGGCCGTACCAGTCTGCTGTAGGATTGGAAGCTGCAGGGGAGAGGGGTTGGAGGGAAATGCTGGCAGCTCCTTCCCTCTGCTCTGTAAAGGAGAAGAGGGTTAAGATTTTCAGATGGACAATCCCTCTCTTTTTTTGTGGGCACGTTTGCTGCCATGTGTTTGATCCAGCAGGGAGCTGTCGATGGGAGTGGCCGCACTTGGGCTGTGTGGTGCTGCCTGATGAGCGCGGGGCAGGCAGCCTTGCTGGCATGAGTGGCTCCGTGTCTGCACTTTGCTTTGCACCCTCAGCAGGGACACCATAGCTTTGGTTTTTGCAAATGCTCGCTGTAAGATGGG